TAAAGTCTTTTTATTGAAAAGTCTTTGGTTTTAAAAATCGAATATCATTTATTTATTTAAAAAGGATTCTCGGTCTTGTCACAAGGTTTTGTCAAACTTGTTTAGTCGTTGAGAAAATGGAATTGACTCGAGAAAATTCAAGAGCGATGATTTATTATGACTTTCGAAGTGGTTTAACACAAAAACAGCGTGTTGACCGGATGATTTCTGCATTTGGTGATGAAGCCCCATCCAAAACCACAATTTATCGCTGGTTTGCTGAATTTCAACGTGGACGTGTCAAGCTCAGTGATGATCCCCGTCAAGGTCGTCCAAAAACTGCAGTCACCAAAGAAAACGTTGATGCTGTGCGTAAGCTGATTGAGGAAGATCGACATGTGACATACCGCGAAATTCAGGCAACTTTAGACATTGGCATGAGTTAAATACAAATAATCTTGCATGAACAATTAGCTGTAAAAAAGTTGTTTTCCCGATGGATACCGCATTCGCTCTGTGAAGAGCAAAAAGCGGCTCGCGTTACTTGGTGCGTCAGAACTCTCGAAAGATTCCACGCAGGATCCTCAAATGCTGTATACAATATCGTATCAGGTGACGAATCCTGGATATACGCGTACGAACCCGAAACAAAAAACCAGTCACGAGTTTGGGTGTTCGAAATTGAGTTAAAGCCAACAAAAATTGTTCGTTCACGGAGTGTTGCAAAAAAAATGGTGGCCACGTTTGTCTCCAAAACCGGCCATGTTACGACTATTCCTCTTGAGGGACAAAGAACGGTTAATGCAGAATGGTATGCTAGCATTTTTTGCCCCAGGTCGTTTCTGAACTCCGTAAAGAGAACTGCAACCGCCACATCATCCTCCATCACGACAATGCGAGTTCTCACACCGCACACAGAACAAAAGAGTTTTTAGAGCAAGAAAACATAGAATTATTAGACCACCCGCCGTATAGCCCCGACCTAAGCCCTAATGATTTCTATACTTTCCCTAAAATAAATAATAAATTGCGTGGACAGAGATTTTCATCACCTGAAGAAGCTGTGGACGCCTACAAAACGGCCATTTTGGAGACCCCAACTTCCGAATGGATTGGTTACTTCAATGATTGGTTCCATCGTATGGAAATATGTGTCAAATTTCGCGGAGAATACTTCGAAAAGCAATAAATACATTTTTAAATAGTAATGTTGTGTCACTTCCTTGATTCCCGAAATTTGCAGTGCCGCCCTCGTAAGTAAATGTCCATAACGATTTAATTATTTCTTTTCAAATATTAAAGTGTGTAAAAAAAACAGTAGGTGGTAAGACTCCTTTTCTGCCTATGAGTCCTCCTCCGCCTCCTCCATCCTCTTACCTATTTCACACGCTCAATAGCAGTGCTTGCAAAGCTGTGTTCCAGTCTGAAATGTATAGACTCTATACTATAGAGCCAGTATAACGAGGGCACCAGGGCAGCGCCACTTTACAATGTGCTAAATCATTATTATTTGAAATTTCATAGCGGGGAAGACAATTTCTTAGATAAATGTAAAGGTTAATGTTTCTTTCTGTATTATTAGTTATATTTAATATTAATTAGATTAAAAATAAATAAACCAAACTAGAAATATAACTAAAAGTAAAAAATAAAAAAGAGGCATAAAATACAAAAAATTAAAGATCAAATTACTGACGCATTGTACTGTGTATTAATATAACACTCTAGAAACTAATAAACTATTATATAAAACTAATTTCTCAATTAAGTGACATTGTGTAACAGAACACAAACACACAAACTTTACCTCGGTCACAACTAGCGACATCTGGTGAGTGGAAGATTATTAGCCCTCATTAGAAGATAAGACACTCCATCTTAGTCCTCAGAAGTGACAACGCATCTGTAGTCTTCTATGCTTGCTAGCTGCAGGTGTCCATGGACTGCAGTTACTAACCATCAGGTGGACTGTACATTCGTTAGTCACTTCAGCTGTATAAAAAAGTTTGTCCGTTGGAATATAATTTGGGTGTCTTTAAGAAAAGAGTGAACAGCCTATTTAATGCTTGTTAATCAGATATTCGGTGTTCTGTGAGTGTTATCGTAGTAAAGCACTAGCTACCTTCTGACAGTATTTAAAACAATAATCATCACACAAACTAATAAAAGTGAAACGTCTGATCGTCAATTCGTCTGTCAAGGGCAAATGCCTTCTACAATGGGAGAGAGCCATGTCCAACAGTAGACTCTTATGGACTGAGGAAAAAAAAGAAATAGAAAGGAGAAGAAGAAATATTGAAAATAATATGCGTTGAATATATAAGCACTAGGTTAGAATAAATTGTTATTATAGCGTATTTTTATCTTTTATGTAAGGTGCTATTATGTCTCGCTCTCATATTCGTCGCATACCTAAATTAAATTATCAACGATCGCTTGTAAACCAACCCCGCATGGTTATGATGGCCTGGTATCAGGTGCCTAACGACGCACTGTCCCGTAGGTACGCCAGCGACACCGCACTCGATGTATACGACTTTTTAATGGCCCCTAAAGATTAACGAATGAATGGGTAACATGAGATCCGACGCCGTACCACTCGGAAAACATAAACAGTTTGTCCACGCTTGTGTTTGTTGGTATCCGGATGATAAAATTCGGTGTTACTAATGACGGACACGCTTATTTGTTGTTATAGACGAGATAAGATAGTTAGTTCTTAATGCGACGTAATCGTAGTTTACAAGACACCGTTAATCTAATTATTTAGATTTGGTTCTCATGTGGGATTCAACCATTTTGTGTCTCTATGAATATCTAAAAAATAGGCCGCCCTAATAGATTGCCTCATAGGGAAGGCGGTTTGGGAACTGCAGTTTTGTATTTCTTGGATGTTTTCAGGAAGACGCTGCCGCTTATCTCGTTTTTTTTGTTCGCCTATTACGACACCATCGGGACGATATGAGGTAGTGGGATATTCTTACATCACCACTACACAGTACGTTAGGTTGACGATTTTCAACGACGTCATAGTTTCTTTTAATCTAATAGAATTTTCTTTGCATACTTTTTAAATATTAAATGTCTTATTAATCTTTTATAATCGATTTAATCACGTGAGTTTGAAAAAAAAATCTTATGACTTTCGACAGCTGACGGCATAAGGCTGCGACTATATGCAACCACATCTCCCTGGTCCGAACAAAAACAGAGTTCGCTATGCTACCGACTACCGGAATTAAATTTATTCAGATGGCCGGTAGTACTTGCATTGATTATTTGTCGCGATACTTTTTTTTTATATGGAAAGTTTATTTTTTGATGAAATTTTATATTTAGCTGTTGCCGTCGATAGAAAAAGGGAAAGTCAATAGAAACCGAGTTCATTCTTTTCACGAAAGTCGCTTATCGTAATTGTTTTATTGTGGTTTGCAAAATTGTACAGCCATCAAGTCAATATTTTAAATCTGGTATTTTAGTTACATGGGTAATGATCTTACTGTAATTTAAGGCACGGAATGTACCGTTTTTGTTGTCAGCTGTAACTCTGTCATATTTTTTTTTTTATAGGATCGAGTGACAAACGAGCACACAGTCCACCTGATGGTAAGTGGTTGCTGTGACCCATAGACATCTACATTTATCTTCGTTTGCGAATCAAAACGCAAATGCGTTGTCACCCGTGAGGACTAAGATGGAATGCCTCTTTTCCAGTAAAAAGAGTCTCCGGTTCTCTACACTCACCATACGAAACACAGCAGTGTTAAACTGCTGTGTTTCGTATTCATATTTAACACTGGTATTCTGTGAGAGCGTGGTCCTTCCCCGGTCGAGCCGACCCATTTGTGCTACAACTATACTACTAATATAGCTGCAGTATGGCTCTACCACGTAAAATATATATAATAATAAATAATACTAGGACTAGCTTCCGGAACGGAACTGTTTTCGGTGATCGTGTGATCAACTTCATACAACTACATATGTACATACATTATTGAAAGACACCACTGTCTTTGCCAAAAAATAACAGAACTGGTGTCCGGAGAAACACTAGCATGATCCTGGTACTTCCTGATAAAATGGGATCAGTTACCCCCGGATCGAATGTACTCGATGCAAGAAAAATTCAAATATTTCCTTGTGCGTCTGATGAATATGGGCTAGTTCGGCTCGTTTTTTTTTTCACTTCTGTGAGAATCCGGATGGTTTGTAGTCTCGAGCTTAACTATATTGTTTACATCAGACCTAAATACCGAGGGGAGTTTTTGGCAAGAACTTGAACGCCAGCGGACTGATATGTATTTCAAATTCTTAGAGCTCTGCATTATTAAGTTTTTTTTTGTGTTACGTTTTTCAGTAGAAAGGTGTTAAATGAGATGTTAGTCTTTGATAGAGATATTATTACATTTTTTTATAAATCTATGAAAGTAACTTGGGCCCTGTATAATATACTAATATAGTAACGGAATAATTCAGTTCCTAAATAAAAATTTAATTTAGAATCTCTATAAAATTTTCGCCTAAATTGAAGGGTTGAAGATGCACCAATTCATTGACGTGATAATTTTTATGGTGCTTTTCATATCTGCTAGCGCGTTACTAGTCTTTGTGTGTTTTATATTACAGAAGGAGGCAATAATATCACATGAGTAAAGAACCGCACCGTAATATCCTATTTTGTTTGTTCATGTCGTCCGCCATTTTGACACTAAAGTTAGAATGCAGTTTGTTAAAATTCTGGCAGTCAATGTCACAATTCTATGTTATTAATTGACAAATAATAATTTACTTAAGCTTGTGGCATGTTGGTTAGGCTGTAGTGCAGCTTTAAACTTAAAATTGATGCACTTAAAAATATTAAATAATAAGTAATTAAGCTACAAACGGTGGTCATTCTCATTTAAAAATAATCAATACTACGTGCAAAAGTCGTGCAAAAAGTAACTACTTCATAGCATTCCGTGTGTGATAGCAGTTAAAAAATAATATTCAGTGCTTTATCATAATCAGACTCTGACCTTTGGTTCGGTGTGGTCCAAGCTGCACCTCGGGGACGCGCCGCCGAGGTAGCTACACGGCATCAGTGTCACCATGATTCACTCACACTCTATTTGCCGATGACACTGTCAGTTTTTTTGGCGGGAAACGGTTTCCGAGCGGCCATTTTGTTATACTTTCGCTTTCGAAGGTACGATTAAACAGTGTCCTGTTCGGCAGATGATTGTTTTATAATCCATAACTTATAATACCTATGAAATTACAACGTCTATATTTAATTTTGTTTAATTAGAATACATTTTGTATCATTTTTAATATTCGATCAATTTTTAATAGGTAGAGTCTGTGTAAAAAGAAAGCCGCAGTACTTTTTTATTATTTTGAGTTGTCTTGTTCCAATCTCCTGTTTCAGATTCCCTCCCACCGTGTAATATCTGACCAGAATAATAAAATCTTGACACTTTGACGATTCTAATATTAAATAAACTAAAACTATTTTTTTTTTGCATAAACGACTTCAATATAAAATAAACTCTAAAAAATGAATTAAATGACTCGAAAAACTTAAAAAAAATAATTTCCACGTAATCTTCTGAAGTCTGTGCTAAATCAAATATTGACCCTTATATTGGGCTAAGGAATATGACAAGGTTGAGGGCTCGATTATTTTGCATTCTATATTTCTGATATGATTACGAGTATCTGGCTGTTTTATGTCTTGTTAACAAAGTCTAGCTGTAAAAGACTGTGTCCTTATATTTTATGTATATATATATTTGTTTTTATACCCAAATTTTAATTCGAATCTGTTTTTACGGATAAGTATAAGTAATTTTAGTAGGTTCTGCAATTCCAAAATTCCTTGTCAATCGTTCTGTATCAGAGAGTTAGAAAATATAAACTCATATCTTAACGTTATGAAGACCTGTTGTTATGATTAAATAACCACGTGGTACACTCTATGTATGTGTCTCTCTCTCTCTCTCTCTCTCTGTGTGTGTGTGTGTGTGTGTGTGTGTGTGTGTGTGTGTGTGTGTGCTATATTGTGGTTATTACATGAATATGTCGGTCCGAACGGGGAAGAACCATGCTCTCAAGGAATATTAGCGTAAAATAGCAGCAATATGGTGCTGTGTTTCGTAATGTGAAATTCCTATGGGCCACAGTATCCTTTTACCATCAGGTGGACTGTGTGCTCGATTCTGACCCTTAATCAATAAAAAATGAGTTAAAAGCTTGCCTTCAATTAATTTAAGGGAGGATTATTCATGTCTTTGGCATTTGGTAATTTGGGCTAAGAGGTCTGAATAGTTAAATTAATATAAAAAGTATATATGACAAGTATGAAAATATGAAAAGTATGTATAACATACATATAATCACGCCTCTTTTCCGTAGGGGTAGGCAGAAACCACTTATTTCCACTTGCTACGATCCTTACATACTTGTTTCGCTTCGTCCACTTTCATTATTCCATTCATACATGCTCTTCGGTTTAGGGTACTCTTGACCTGGCCATTTTTCAAAATATGTATTACTATACAGTTAAACACGTGAAATGTGGTTAATCCACAAGGGATGTGTTTCACATCGGTTTTTTCTGTCAAATCTTTTGGCCAAAAGTCACCATCGGCCACGCTACGTCGGTGGCTAGTTATTGAGAGGCTGTTAGTCATCGCCCTAAGCTGAACAAAAAATGAAAACAAAAGGGAAAAAAAATATACACACGTTTGGTTAGACTAGGGTCACCACTTTGCTTATTGTTTAAATAAGAATATACACTGATGCAGCAAAAATATTGGCTTGTAGTAAAAGTAAAAAGTAAATTAAAGTTTTTAAGGATATTTTGTTTGTTATAAAATTAGCTGTTTCCTCCCGCGACTTCGTCCGTGTTGTATTTATTACGATTCAATTTCATGTATTTCAATTTTTACGCCGTACCCTAATTATTTTTCTAAAATAAAAGTAGCCTAAGCTACTGCTTATAACATCAACTTCCTGTCAGTGAAAGTCCAAAAAAAAGACAAAGAAAGAAAAAAAACAGACTTTTTTTAAATAGTACCTATTTTTACATATATTGTTAAATAAATAAAAAATAAAATATTTTCTAAAATATTCTCTCTAAAATTTCCTTAAAAATAAATGTATACATACACATTATGAATATCACGAAGTAAAATTAAAAAAAAAATTGTACAACTGACTTTAATATAAATAAAATGAGAACATCATCGATGTAGTCGAACTCAAATACGCATTATTAAGGATAACTCTAAAACTACTGGTCAGATCTTGAACAAATTTATATATGGTCCATGAAAAGCACCAACTTTCAAATAAAAAAATAATCATTGAAATACCTAGGTAAAAGTTCAGAGGTAACACACTTAAAAAAAATATAGTCGAATTGAGAACCTTCTACTTTATCAGACATAAAATTTTTAAAAAATTGCTATAAAATTGCTATTTACATATCTCGTGTATAAGATGGAAGCTTTTAGGTTACACGAGATTGGTCACTCATAAAATAAAGGAAAGTCTATTAGAACATTATTAACCTCTTTAACATATTTTAGGTATCTTTTGGAATGTTGTAATACAATTCATTATCTGAAAATTTAAAAATAAATATGGTATTCCTATGTGGACCACCCACATGGTACCGTCAAAGTCGAATGTCGAACCAAGAACGTGTTCATCAAGTTGTCAAATCGAGTTTGACGTAATCGTGAATATGATTTTTTTATGACATTTTTTATTCCTTCTCACTAGCTTCTGTGTCTTCAATATAAATTCTGACAGCAATAATTAGATTAAAAGAAGTTATCAAGCAACTTTTATGATAGGAAATTATTATTTTTACATGAAATGGTAATTTATATCAAATCACAATTATACATCATCAGCATAATTATTACAGTCCTTCACAATTTACTGTTAATTAGTTAGTCCACTGCTTCCCCCTCCCCCCTTCCCAACGATTGCCACATAGCACGGTCCTGAGCCACCTTTAAAATTATTGCATGTCTTACCGGGCCGTTACCCTAGTGAGGGGCCGCCCTACACTTCGTCTACCGGATACCGGTACGAGGCTGCCACTCGAGAACCTTTCTTCCCCATCGGTTGTCGGTTCTTCGAGCTATATGGCCCTTACTAATCCATACATGAAATAATTTATACAACGAAACATAAGAGAGATAAAATTTTAATGGCCCAAACAACCCCATTAAGATGTTTATGAAGTTAAAATATCCTGTTCCAGTTGGTTTACTTTGTAATATTAAAATTAGTGGGATCTAAAGAGTACTTTTTCATTGCGACGTTTAATTAGTAAACCAACGTGTGTAATTCAAATAAAACGGTTAGATTATTACAAGATTATATAAAAGAAAATGTAAAAGCCTTACCAGCTAAAGAATGTTGACGGTGACCACCAGTTTATAAATATTATAGAGATATACGAGAGATAAGAACGTACTCCTATAATTTGAAACAAAATATTAAATATTTAACACTTCTAAAATAATAGCTGAATAGCATTTAAAAATTGTTGTAAATTTATTATTAGTCCATAATCTGTGAGAAATATTGCATTGAAATATTGCATTTTATCGATGACTAAACAATCTGCCCCGGCTTCGAACCCATTGACATCTGCCTCTACAAACATACCCGAGACGATACAATACACCAACCCCATTAGAAGCCTGAAAGCATTATTGCATTGGAAGCGCAGATCGTTGTATGCCCTCCGTGTATAGTTCACCCACAGGTTGCATGCATAGAAGGTCTGACAATATGCCTTGAAAAGCGTAACCTTAACCTGTTTAGTACAGCGTGCAAACCTACGGAACAACATATTACATTGTACAGCCAGCGACCGGAGTACCCGCTCTACATCAGTATTTTTGCTCTTCGGTGACTCAGTGGCCCTAGTACTTCAATTTCTCAAATCTGTTCAGACACATTTGAGCGACTTTCTTGCCTGCTTTCAAAACATATTTTTTTAATTACAGAGGCTGCACTAAAAGTATCGGGAATGTAATATTTCCACTGTTCCTGTCATATTAAAATCTTTTTAATTGAAAAGTCCTTGGCTTTAAAAATCGAATACCATTTATTTATTTTAAAAAAGATTCTCGGTCTTGTCCCAAGATTTTGTCAAACTTGTTTGTTTAGTCGTTGAGAAAATGGAATTGACTCGAGAATATCTTAAATCACTTTTCCACCATTAATTCACTACCATGCTGTTTCCAAATATTTTCATAATAATTTTATAAAATATTTTATATATTTAGTTTTTAAAAGTCCCGCTGGGTTTCTTGCAGGTTCTTCCCAGGACAGAGGTTTTTTCCGGACCAGTGCTAAAGTTTAAATTACTTTAACAAATATTCTTGTAGCCTATATTGAATAAAAATGATTCTATTCTATTTTATTCTATTCTGTGTGTTGTACCTGAGCCCGTGGGCCTCGGCGTGAAACGTATGTTATCCTAAATAGTCACTTCAATGTACCGATAATTAAGCAATCGTTCTTTTAACAAATACGTATATTATTTGACGTTTAAATATCTTATGTGATCTGGCCTTAATGTTATAGTTTTATTGAAATAGCATAAACAAAATCAACGTATTTTTTTTTTAAAGCCAGCGGGGGTTGAACAGTAGCGTCGGCCTCATGCGGTGTAGTCTGACGGCATTTTACCACTGTGACGAGACTGCGGTTAGTATATTTGATTTTTTATCAATCTAACAATTTTAAAATACTTTATATAGTTATTGGTATTGTAGATGATATTTTTTTTTAATATTTTGGGAAAAACGACATTATGATTGTAGAACCGTTGGGTCGGATAGGCCGGGTAAGTATCACGCTTTCAAAGGATACTACCGTGAAATAGCAGCTTAATGCTCCTGTTTCGTATGGTGATTGTGGAGAACCAGGGACTCATTGTACAGGTAAGGAGGCATTTTGTCTTAGTCCTCAGGGGTGACAGACAAAGCATATTATACATTTTTATTAATCGAGAATAGATATAGCTGTCTATGGGGCACAGCATCCACTTACTATCATGTGAACTGCGCTTGTCACCTAC